AGAGATCCTGGCTGCAACGTGGTAGGTCCAGGTGGAGAATCCCCAGCTCCCTGTGTGTGAACTCTGTCTTACCACCACAACCCAACTTTAGAACATTCACATCATCCCAGCCATCATCTCTGCTCAACCCAGTTCCAGGCAACCACTAATATACTTTCTGTCTCTATAGGTTTGTCTTTTCTGGATATTTCATATAAAATTGAATCATGCAATATGAGGTCTTTGCATCTGGTTTCTTTTCCTTTAGCATAATGTTTTTGAGACTCATCCATTTCATAGTATGCATTGGTAAAGTGTTCCTTTCTATTGTAGACAGAATCCTATGTATGAGTATCCACGGGATGACTGAGTTGTGCCCTACCCCCATTCATACGTTGAAGTCCTACCACCAGTACAACAGAATGTGACTGTTTTTGGAGATAAAGCTTTAAAGAGGCAATTACCTCAAAGTCAATCTGTTTATGGGGGGTCCTAATCCAATCCAATTGATGTCCTTATATAAAGAGATTAGGACATACAGAGAAGGCAGCCATCTACGTGCCAAGGAGAAAAACCTCAGAAAAACCTAAACCTGCTGTAATTTTGATCTTGGATTTACAGTCTTCAGAACTGTGAGAAATAAATTACTTTTGTTTAAGACACCCATCTATGCATTTTGTCATGGAAAACACCAGTCTAGAGGCAAACTAACACATAGAAAACTAGCACACAATTCTAGTGGCAGTGCAATGGCATTTAATTCTGGTTTTAATTTGCATTTTCCTAATGACTAATGACATGGATCATTTTTTATGTACCAATTAGGAACTTTCATATATTCTTTGGTGAAATTTTTATTCAAATCTTTCCATCTTAAAAAAAATTTGATTTTTCTGCTCAGAAAGAAATTAGGAAAACAATCACAATAGTTAAAAAAACACTTAGGGAAAAAATCTAACTAAGGAAGAGAAAGACTTTTACAAGGAAATTATAAGACATTTAAAAAAGAAATTGAAAAAGATGCTAGCAGATGAAAAGACATATCATGTTCATGGATAAGCAGAATTAATATAATTAGAATGAGCATATTACTGAAAGCAGTCTACAAATTCAATGCAAGAGACATCAAAATAGCAATGACATACTTCACAGAACTAGAAAAAGAAAAATCCTAAAATTGGTATYGAAGAATAAGACTTAGAATAGCCAAAGTGATCCTGAGCAAAAAGAGCAAAGCTGGAGGCACAAATTATATTACAGATCCATAGTAAAAAACAAAACAAAATAATAGTACTGGCATTAAAACAGATATGTAGACCAATGGAATAGCCAAAGGACACAGAGACAAACCCACACAGCAACAGTCATCTGATTCTTGACAAGGGTGCCAGGAACATACAGTGGTGAAAAGAAGAATGAAATTAGATCCCTATTTCTCAAAAGCAGATAACTATAAACAAATATCTCTCCAAGATTTAGATGCAAATCCTTAAACCTCACTAACCTGGAATAAATCCCAATTGTTCTTGGCATATAATTATTCTTATGTGCCAAAAGGTTTGCTAATATTCTATTTAAGAATTTGTTTCTAAATTTAGGATAGATGTTTGTGGTTTTCTTTTCATGTAATGTCCTTCTTTGGTTTTGTACTGAATGAGGAGAAATTTTACCTCCTCTTCCATTTCTTGGAGGACAGTGTGTAAAGTAGGTGTTAATTCCCCTTTAGAAGTTTACTAAGCTGGAGAAGGTGGCACACACCTGTAATCCAAGTCCTCTATCACTGAGCTGTAACCCCAACCCTTTTAGTGCCCAGGCTGGCCAGGAACTTGTGATTCTCCTGCCTCAGCCTCACTAGTCACTGGGATTACAGGTATATGCCACCATGCCTGGCCATCAAGTTTTGTTTTAGAGTATACTTTGTTTGTTTATGTRTATTTGGTCAGTGTTCAATGGGCAAATGAGAAAAATGTATTCTGTTGATGTGGGTTGTATATTTGATATGTTAATTAGATCCTCTTGATTGACTGCACTGTTTAGATTTCCCATGTTTTTGTGATTTTCTGCCTCATAACTCTATCAGTTACTGGGGATGGGAGTGGGGGTGGTGTTGAAGTTTTGAATGGTATTTGTAGGTTATTCTAATTTTCACTTCAGTTTTATCAGTTTTAGCTTTATCTGTGGCTTAGCTTTTAGTATGTTGTGCTTCCTGGGTGGATTGATCCTTTTATTGTTATATAATATCCCATTTTGTCTCTGGTAATTTTCTTTGCTTTGAAATCTTTGTTATTGCTACTACTGTTCTCTTTCTTTTTCTGATTAGTGTGTACATGGTATATCTTTTTTTACTTTTTATTTTCAGTTTACCTGTGTTTGAATTTGGAGTTTCTCATATGTAGTAGGAGATTAATACATGTAGGTTATTTTTAATTCACTCTCCCTATCTTCATCTTTTGATTGGTATATTTAGAACATTTGCATCCAAGGTAATCATTGTTATGCTAGCATTTTAATCTGCTATTCTATTATTTATTTTCTGTTTTCACTGGTTCTCATTAATCTTTTTCTCTTTCTTATCTTTTTGCAGTTTACTTGAAAATATTCTTTAAGATTCCATTTTGACTTATTTATAGTAGTTTTGGGTTTGCTTCTTCACACAAAAAGTCACACTGGTTTCCCTGGGTGTTACACATTATTTTTAAAATTGTGTAAGTATCAACATTTGCTATTTTAAATGAAATATGGAAGCTCAATTCCATTTAAGTCCCTTTGACTTTCTCATCCTTAAATATCATTGTTTTGAATATCAGACAACATTGAAGTTTGTTTCAATCATCAAACTCCTAAAAGAGATTGTATGAACCCATATTTCTGCTCTTTTTGTTATTTCTTCTTCCAAGTTTTCTTCTTTTACCGTTTCCTGTTGGAAGAACTCCTATTCAACAGCATTTTAAGGATAGGTCTCCTAGTCACAAAATCTTTTGTTTTTCACTCATCTGTGAATGTTTTTATCTTTCCTTCACCCATGAAAGGTAGTTTCATCAGAAATAGAATTGTAGGTTGACGAACGTTTTTTCATCCAGCACTTAAGAAGTATTTGAACATTTCCTTTTTTGTGGTTCAGTTGAAAAATCCTTTAGTGTTCCTCTGCATGTAGTACACTATTTCTTTTTGGCTGTTTAAATGAAGTTTTGACTTTATTTTTCAAAGTTTAATTATGACATGTGTTGGCATGGATTTCTTTGGGTGTGTCTTGTTTGGGATTGACCTGGCTTTTTGGATCCCTATGTTGGAGACCTCCATTAAATTTGGGAAGTTTTCAGCTATTATTTCTTCAAATGTTCAATCACCCCCACCCTCTTTCTCTTTATTTTCTGGGACTCTAGTGACATGAATGTTGTGTATTTGTTATTGTCCACAGAACCCAGTCTATTTTGTTTCTCTTGCTCAGCCCTCAAGCTCATGGATTCTATCCTCCATCATCTCTACTGATGAGCCTACCTAGCAAGTTTTGAATTTGTTGTTGTATTCTTCAGTTCTATAATTTCCACTTTTTATTAATTTTTTGAGATTTTTAATTTTTTTTATTTGTTTCAAGAGAATTTGTAGTCGATCTGCACAGTAATTATGTTTCTTCTAAAATTCTCATCAGATAATTCCAACATCTGATTGTTCAAGTGGCAGCATCCATTGATTTCCATTTTCAATGAAGTTGATTTCTTGGTTCTTGATGTATATTCTGAACATTTTGTCTGTTATGTTAGGTGACTCTGGGTCCTATTTATCATTTTGTTTTATAGGGAATCACTCTGTTTTTGTTTGCATCCAGGTCTTTGCCTACTGTCCAATGGAAGTTCAATTTCCAAAGCCCTTGTAATGTTATTTTGGCTTGGTTGGTTCATTTGGTGTTGTGTGGGCCCCACTAGTCTCTGCTGGTGCTCTGTGAAAGGAGGAATACCCCCTGACAGGGTCTCAGATATCTGTTGGAGAGGTAGGAATGTGGGAGAGTCTTGCTACCTGGCTTTCTCTGGGCCAGGGAGGAGAGTCTTGGTTCCATAAAATAGCTTCTAGGACCAGGTTGCTAGATGTGACAGATTTCTTTTCCTGGTTCTACCAGTCAGCCCTACTGTCTCTGGGCAAGGAAGAAGAGCCTTGGGCCTCAGGAAACAGTTCAGCTTCCCTGATTGAGTCACCTTCTTTACCTGGGCCTCTCTTATTGGCTCCTCAGACTCACTTTAGAATCTCACCTCAGAAGAAAAGGAGTCTCTGGTCCAGGAGGGAAGGAGAGGGCTTCCCATGGTTGTTTGGCAGAACTCCCAACTGGTCCCCTTGCCTGAGGTTATCAATGACTCCATTAGATTCAGGGAGAAGAATGAGCTACTGTAATTAAGGATACCAAAGTATAAAAGCAGATATTTATAGGAGGCAGAATCCTCARCCCAGTACACTTTACTTATTTATTTAGACTGTGTGGTTACAAATAAACACTTAAAGTGATTTTAATGGATACATAATATATAAGAAAATATAAATTAGATGTAGAGGGGGAATGAGCAAGAAAAGGAGACAGGAATAAGGTTTGTGCAAAACTGCTCCTTGTGATTTTTCTACATGTCAATAAACAGCCTGAGAAAGGACTCACAGCTATAGAATCTCTGGACTATTTTGGAGTGAAAATTCAGGAGTCCTCAGGAGTGGAGATGGGAGCAGGAGGCCAGACTCCAAACATGGAAGGTCTACAATATCCAAGATATCCAAGATCTACAATAGAGGGAGACAAGTTTCCATGGGAATTTCCCCCCAATACTCTGGATTTCCTGTTCCTAAAGCACTTTTAATCTCTTCTTAAAGATTCCTGAGATCTCAGTTTGAGAATGGCCCCGGTCCTTAGCACTGTAACCTACTTGAAGACTCAGGCTACTATGTTCCTGAGGGTTCACATCCCAGCTAGGGTCCGCTACGGATCAAAGACGGTACAAATTATGCAGAGAGCATAGACCAAGGCTAAAACTAGTCATTGATTCCTCAAACTCTTGTTTTTAAAATTCCTCTATTTGATTCTCAGAATCTAAGCCAAAGCTGTTGGTGGCAGACTTGCAGTGTCCCCTGCCCCCAAGTCAGCTGGGAACCTGGGTGATACTGATGACACACAGGAGCAGAGATGGAGCCACGGAAGTGGTGCCGTGCCTGGGGATTAAATGATCACACTCCTTCCACTATGGGAGCTGTCTTTCTCCTGAGGAAGAGAAGAACACAAAGCAATCCAGTCAGCTGTAATCCACTGTCTGTGCAAACAACATACACGGTACGCTTGTGCACACCCGAGTGAGTGTTGGCTGCTGGTACTGCAGATCTGAACCTGAAGAAAACTGTTGACTCTTCATGGAGTCAGTCTCCTTCCCCAGGSTTAACCTTCTCTGTTTTCCTCCTTCTTTATAGTCTCCTTCAAACAATGTTTATTTCTGAAAAGTTCTGAGTCTTATTCACTCTGCCTCCTGCTTACTGTTTTTCAAACATTTTCAAGTCTCTTGTAGACTTAAAAAAAAAAAAAAAAGAGAAAGATACCCTGTTCCATTCATCAATATCTCTCTCCCACTCATTCTGGAGGTAGTCTCCTCTTCCTATGTGTATCTCCTGAATCATTTCTTCCACCCTTTTCTAAAATGTTTAGCTTCATACCTTAGTATTTTTCTGGAGTTACTTTTCAAAAATCACTACCTCTTCCTGACCAAACTCTGTGGCTTTTCTTTTCTTTTTTTTTTTAAATATATTTTTAGTTGTCAATGGACCTTTATTTTATTTCTTTATATGTGGTGCTGAAAATYGAACCCAGTGCCTCACACATGCTAGGCCAGCGCTCTGCCACTGAGCCACAACCCCAGCTCTCAGTGTCTTTTCTTCAAAAGTTATTTCACTTGGTCTTGGAGCTTTTTCTACATGTTGAATGAGAGGAGGAACTATGGTTTATGTTTCTCAAATTTCTCTAATATATTTCTCTAATTATGTATTGTAGAGATCATTTTCAAACATCTGTAGTTATAATCCGTGAGCATGTAAGTCTTCATCTTATTTGAAATAGGGAGATAAGGGATCTGTCCTGTAATATACTATTGCAAAGGTATCGTATATGTATGACATTCGTGTTGCTGTAAAAAGCCTGTTTCCAATTTATTAGGAAAGTAAGTTTTTAGGGGACATGCTTTTAAATCAAAATCTTCTGGGATGAATATTCTCTGAGAGAGGAAAACAATGAAATGGGGCAAAAGGAACCTGTTAAAGGAAGACCTAGAAAGTTGAAGGAGTAGATATTTTATTTAAAGTAGATTTAAGCTATAAAAATTCTAATGTAATATTTTATTAAATCAAAAAGTCAAAGACAAAAAGAAAAAAAGCTGGGATTGTTTACAGAAAATATGAGGTTAACCCAGAGAGAAAAACATGGTAGTTTTCTCTTGGTATTAGAACAGATGAGTGTGAGTCAAGTTTGGAACAACCCCAAAATTTCTTTGGAAACCCTTTCTATTAGGGTAAGAGTGAAGAGAAATATCATCAATTTTAAGGAGGCCAGAACACAGGGACCATTCAGTCTGTAATCTCTAGAGTAAAAAGCTTAAAGTTTCTGCTTTTTCTACTTCAGAGAGTGTAGTTTTGGAGGACGTGATATCTTAACTGTAGTGGGGTAGGAGATCCATCTTCTCCTGGGTACTGTGCAGAGAACAGTTCTCATGTATTTCAGGTACAATGAGATTACATGTCCAATAGCCAGGTTTCTGTTTCTTAAACATTACTCTTGAAAGAGAAAGTTCCATGTAAGCCAAAAATATTTAGTTTAATTGCTATTTCTATAAAGACTTAAAGAATTTTTAATCAGTGTTTTATTGAAGTTATGGTAAAGCTGTAAGAGCTAAAGTCTGACTTAAGAAAATAGTGATACATGCTATTAATTCTATAAATAAGCAAATTTCAGGTGACACATGATCAAAGATCACCATCTAGTGGCCTAACAGTACTATAATGTCTGAATTTAGCTGCAAGCTGCTAAGCTAGGAAGATAACCTTTGTGGGGAGCACCCAGACCCACCAAGGAAAGAGGGGGAGAGAAAGACTTTGACCTGAAGACTTTTGGCCCCACTAAAGGCATTCTAAATTCAAGCTATAAATAACACAAACACTGGGCCCTTCAAAATAATCAATCCACCAATCCAGCTTTGTCTCTCCGCCTCTGGGGACTGTCAGAATATGTTGAATGTGGTCAAGTGGTAACTCTTTGGGAAACAAATTCAAAGACACCCCAAACAATGGAACTTTTTAAAATGACCTTGGAAAAAACACTTTGCCTCTCAAAAATGACTTTATGGTTGAAAATTTGGTTGACTCGTGGTAAAATTATTGTTGTATACGTCTTGAGGATAAAGGAAGCTGTGATACTTCCAGAAAATTAGGAAGAAATAACGTCACTAGAAAATGTCATTCTTCCCAACCTTTCCCAATCTTTTTTCTATTTGACCAAAACCTTTTTTTCTCATTGACTTTTATTGAGATAGTCAAAGGGAACTGTGAACGGCTTTTAGGGAAGTTCCCAGAGTAGAGGGATATTTTAAGAAAGTTAGTCTCTTGTGCGCTCTGAAGGGTATGCCTTTCATTTGGAAGTGTGAATTCTATTGTGACTAAAAAACAACAACAACAACAACAACAAAAAAACGATCCATCATACATGGTGTGCAAAGGAGAAGTCCTCTTGGGGGAGGGATCTGTCCTATAACATACTGTTCTAAGTGATCCTTTTTCTAAGGAGGCAGTATGAGTTACTGAAAAAGGCACAGGCTTGAGAGTCAGAGGGGTGTTAAACTTTGGCTTCACTCTTATTGGTGCTTTGGCTTTGGGCATGTTACTCGACTTCTCTGAGCCCCACATGGTTGTTGTGAGGATTAAATGAAATAGGACTTGGAAAGGATTTACTCCAGTGTTTGGAACACTTCTCTCACTTACAAGTCACATAATTTAACTTAAAGATTTAACTTAGGAGAAAGTAGAGTTCCGATCTTGGGCCAAAACTTTAAAAAAAATTACATTTTTTTTCTGTTAAAATGAAAAGACATATTTAGTTACTATATGAAGAAAGTAACTATAGTTGTCCCAGCTTTGACTAATTCTGCACTTTCTTTCGGGATTTAATTTTCTTAATGCTAACATGGAAGAATAGCTGTGCCATCTGCAGGTGAGGATCACTGTGAAAACACTACTCTCTTTTGCTTCTGTTATGCTAGTCAAAGGATTATGAGAGAAGTTCCCAGAGCAGAGTAATTGTCAGAAAATCGTAGTCTTGCTTGAACTCAGATTGCTGTGTGGATGCAAGGAGGTGTTGCATAAGATGTCCAGTTGCATACCCCAGCTATTTCCACGCTTGCTGATCTTTGTCTCTCATGGGCTACTTGGGGAGAATATGTCACAACTTCTATTATTTCCGAAATGACTATTGGTCTTTATTCTTGCCTCAAAAATTGCTCTCTAACCAAGATTTGCTCTAGAAAGTGGGCCTGCTCCTTGGCACACACTATGTATGATGGATTTAAAAAAACAAAAACAAAAACATTTCCAAATGAAAGATGTATCCTTCAAAGCCCACAAGAGACAACACTTTTCTGATAATATCCCTTTACTCTTTGGGAACTTCCTTAGAGTTGTCTACAGTTCCCTTTGACTAGTTCAACAGAAGCAAAAGAGAAAATGATCTTGTTGAATAGAAAAAAAAGATTTTCATGGTAGCCTGAAAGTTGTTTCTCAGAAGTTCATTAATTGTTTGTTGTGAGTGATGGCAACAATTAGCAGCATTAAAGGGAGATTGTTGTTTGCGTGTATTAATCATATAATGATCTTTTTAAAAAGAAGATCTATATTTGGAGACCCCAAAAGCCTGTGTCTTCCTATGTTCCCTTTTTAGGGTGAAGACCCTCTGACACCTTGTCTGTTCACATACCCTAAAGTTTTGAGCCATATTTGGGACACCAGGATTTGTGTATCAGTTTAACCACACCTTCCAGGGGTATATGAGAGGCCTCATCCTCACATATACATGGGCTTTGCATGCTGAATCGACAAACATCCTCAAGCCCCTTGCATGTTCTAATTTGGGGTATGAAAATAAGGGTTCTAAGCAAAGCCAGGCAGCTGTGACAGGAGGCAAAACCTTGAAGAAAAAAAAAAAAAAAAAGGAAGGTAAAGGCTTAGGGCGAAGGCCTAGGCCTGCATCCCCACCTGCAGGCTGCAAATCATTTCAGCCTCATTTCCTCACCTGAGAAACAGGAGGACCCTACTGTACCTGCCTCACAGGACCAGGTGAGCAGGAGTGATGGGGCCCAGAAGCCCTTGCAAGCTGGGAGCCTCCCCCTGCACCCCGCACTGACAGGCGGCTCACCAGCAGGAGGCGCCCGTGCCAGCCTCAGCCAGTCCCAGCTGGAGGGGTCCTCTGCCCACGCCCAACCCTCAGCAGGATGCCCCAGGCTCACCGAGCGCCTCGCCACACTCCCTTTTTTCCTGCCATTCTTGCCTGGAGTGACATCCAGCGAGCGGTAGCTGGGCGGCTTCTCCTCTAGCCAATTCGGGGACTGCGAGCGGTGGTGGCGGGTTCCCCAGCTGCGGGGCGGCCTCTCCTTCTCCTCCTCCGAGCTCCAAGAGCTGAGTCCAGAGGGCGGTGGCGGGGAGCAGCTGCTGGCCCTGCGTCTCCCGCGTCTAGGGACACTCTCCCGGGTCCTGCGCCTGCTTGGCCTCTCCCAGTGGCTCCTGGGAGGCGGGTGGCTGGGCTGCCAGTGGGCTTCACTGGACGAGAAGCCATCGCTCAGGCTGTCCCTGTCTGACCAGGGCGGCGTGGGTGACCCATTCCTCCTGGAATGGTGGCGCCTTCCACTCCCTGGGTGGTCCAGCTCTCTTCTCCCCAGTGCCCAGGGTTTTGGACCCCAGTCCTGGAGCTCCTGGTGGAAATCAGAGTAATGGTGCTGCCTTCTCCCCTCCCTCAGATCCCAGGGTCTGGAGGAAATTGGGGTGTGCCACAGCTGGTGTGAGGAGTCGCTGGTCCTCCCCAAGGAGGATGGGTCTCTGATCAGTGGGGGCAGGTGAATGATCCTGCGTTCCACAACCTCGGAACCCAGGGAGGACAGCATGCTGCAGGGATGGCCAGACCTGGCTTTGAGGTTAGTGGGCAGAGGTTGGGCTGGGTTGAGGTTCCGCAGCTCTTTTTCCAAATATTCCAGGACACCATTGGTGATAGGAGGGTGAGTGGTGGTCTGGGTCATTGGCATCTGTGGGAGGCTGGACCGTAAGGACAAATCTGAATGGAAACAAGGACAGAACATGCAGAACTACTGGCTCAAAATAAATACCTTGAAATCAGGATATCAAAAGTCACATTATTTAGCTTGATTCCACTCCTTCCCACCCTCAATCATACACACCTCCCATGTTGGTCATGGAGGCCCAGATGCACCCATGGTCCTACCCTTACCCTCTGTCCTCCCCCTCCCAAGACTCTGGCAAGGTTTACCTCGCTGCAGCAGCGGGTTCATTGCATAAGATGAAACCTGGGAGCTCCTGTCCGCCCCCCAGTACAGGGGTTTYTCCAGCATCTGAGGACCTAGGACCTGAGCCTGCTTCATGTAGCGGTGGCGGGCCAGGGCTGCAGGGGAAGAAGGAAAAATGCAGACCCTCAGCCAGGGAAGGCCCCACACCTACCACTTCACTTCTGTCCACCTAATAGTCTTGCCAGGAGGCCAGCTTCTCTCCTCCAATGTCCATTCTCACCATCTTGCATGGGAGTAAGAGTTAAGGGCATAGCAAGTCACCCATGTTTCTGGCAAGGAGCTGGGAATAAATTTCCTGTAGACAAGACTATAATCTCTGCACCCCAGGAAAGTGTACTCTTCAAACTCAATTTCCTAGCCTCAAAAATACTTCCTCATCCTGCCCACTCCCAGACCACCTGAAGTGCATAGATATATACACAGATACTAGCTCACAATCACATCTCAGATCACAGGCAGCAAAACCAGAAGCCACAGGCCAGAAATAAAAGGTACAGATGCAAAGGTCTTAGAGGAAGCTGTAAGTCACGGCTTGGGGGCTCCTTAGGTCTGCCAGCTAGGCAAGCTTAGGGCTGTCCATTGATGGGAGCAAAGGGAAGGGCATGACGCCCAGAGGTGTTTCTTGCAGGAACACCAGCTCTGGGTGAGAGAGTGCCATGGGTGAGCGCCATGGGAGAAAGGCCCTAGCATGCAAAAACTGAAGTAGATTCCAGCAATTCTTTTCTACTCTTCTCCTCACTTAATGAAGTATTGGGGTTTCCCCTAATTAGGGGAAATCTCTAAGGGATAGAGTGGGGTTAGGAAGGGGGAAGGGAAATACCACTCCTTTTCAGGGCAAAGAAAAGAGTGTAAAAAAGCAGCACAAGGGGTCCATAGAAAAGTCACCCGAGTCCTCCACATGCAGCTGGTCTGAAGCACACAACCTACAATGAGTACAAGTTAAAAATAAAAGTATTTGTTTGTTTTGTTCACAAATTTTTATTTTGAGGTAGTGTAGCTGAGCACTGCATGACTCCTAAAGTCTCTGCCTATTCACGCATGAACACATACTTGCATGTTATACTTGGCCTATGAACCATGACAGATCCCGTAGCCTGGTACTCTCAACGCCCGCTCAGTTCACCAGACCTTGGGACCACCCGGAGAATAGCACAGCTCTGCCTGAGCCTTCCTCACAGAACAGCAGGAGGGATCAGAAGGCAGGCACTCTAGACCCCGCTACACAGAGTAGGAGGTCTGCTGAGGCCAGTGGCCAAGGGGCCACCTGGAGGGCCACCTGGAGGCTCCAGTGAGAAGCAAACTTCCAACACAACAGGAAGTGGTGGCAGCAGAGCCCCCACAAGTGTCTGCAGCTCCAGCCCTGGTGGTGAGTCACCGCCCAGCCTGAAGGAAATAGGATGCAAACTTAAAGTAGCTCATTCAGCTGCCACGCCTTTACGCCAACTGACAGCCCTCCACCCTGGCAGAGGAGAAGTCCACCAAGTAAGCACTTTGCCTCTTGCTAACAGGTGCCTTCCCCCTGGCTCCCTCTACTGGCCACCATGGACAAGCACAATGCTTTTTGCTCACCACACCTGGCCATTTTACATAAACTAGCTAATCCTCTGAGAAATCTCTTAATGTGGGACTCAGACAAGGAAGTTGGGCTGGGAGAGGAGGCCTTCCCAGTCCAAGGTCCCACAGTGACCAGCAGAATCAGGGTGTGAACCTGTGACTCTCGGATGCTCAAGCCTATTTATTGCTGCACCACAGTGTCCCGAGGCTCTTTTATTTTCTATGATGAAACCAATAAACCTTCCCCAGGAGAACCTCTTCAGTTTACAACTCTCTAACTCAACTCCACAACTTTAAAGACGTAGTTCAACTAGCTTCTGCCCCTAAGGCCTGAGGACATCTGATTGATTCCCTTGGGAACAGCCCTGCCTACCGCCACTGCTTTAACTGAATCCTGGCTTCTTTCAGATGTTCCCGCATTTGGCAACTTCCTTGGGTCCCACTCCTGGAGACTTTCCTTCAGTTAGTCTAACAGAAGGCAAGAAAGCATGTGTTTTCAACAAACACACGCTGGGAGTCACCTTAGAGGTGACTGCTGAGGAGCCTCAACTACACTTAGAGAGAAGGACCCTCAGGGATAGGTTTCCTTAAATATAGGCTTTGAGGGTCCCATGGACTTCAATTTGCCTCTGAGCATGTACTAACTGTGGGACTTTGAGTGAGTTTCCAGTCTTTGTGCTCATTCTCTTCATCTGTGAGCTGGAGGTGATAATCGTTCACAAGGTTGTTGAGGTTAAATGAGGCAATACACATCAAATGCATAACACAGAAGACAGATGGTCAATAGACAGGGGCTCTCATTGTTATAATAAATTGTTATAATAAACTGCTTCTTTTGAGGGGGAGGTGCTGGGGATTGAACTCAGGAGCACTCGACCCCTGAACCACATCCCCAGCCCTGTTTTGTATTTTATTTAGAGACAGGGTCTCTCTGAGTTGCTTAGCGCCTTGCTTTTTCTGAGGCTGGCTTTGGACTCATGATTCTCCTGCCTCAGCCTCCTGAGCTGCTGGGATTACAGGTGTGCGCCTCCACACCTGGCGATAAACTGCTTCTTTTGCCATAGAACTCACAGGAGACTAAACCACCAAAGGCATATTAATCTTTATCTCTGAGGAAAAGCTAAGTTGTACTCTTTTCCCTTTTTTTCCTTCTTCCTTTCTTTTAAAAATATCAGTTCTCAGTACTGGGGATTAAACCCAGGGCATTCTGCCATTGAGCTACATCCCCAGTCCTTTTTTATTTTAAGACAGAGTCTTGTTGCTAAATTGCCCAGGCTGGCCTTGAACTTGCAGTCCTCCTGCCTCAGTCTCCCATGTAGCTGGAATGACAGCCTGAACCACCCACCACACCAGGCTCAGGGCACATTCTTTAAGACATCCCCTGTGTAGCAGAAGTGACACTCAACACCTCACCCTCCTACAGAGACCAGCACGTTCCCTCCCCTCCAGCAGGTGTCCTCAGTATGCATTACCATGTAAACTCGTGCCCTTGAGACCCCTAACTTCACTTTCCCCGTAAACTGGTTACCAGTCCTTACCATCCCCTTTCTTTGTCTCCTTTAAATCATGGGGACTCAGTCCTTTTTTTTTTCCAAACTACCAGTCTCCCCTACTTTGACCAGACAGTCTTCTCAGCGACATTCTCAAGAGCTTCCTGGAATCCCTAGGCCCCCTGAACTCTTGTCATTTTAGCCTTGGGGAACCACCAGCCATGCTCCTTGTACCCAATCGGGCCACTGCCTCAGATGGCCTTCCTCCCAACTGGGTTTTCCTAGGTTATCTGTCTACCACGCAGGCATTCCCTCCTCTCCAGCAGCACCCTCAACATCCCCCACTGCTCAGGGCTTCCCCTCCCCCCATGAACTTTCAGCTGGTGACATCATGGCTGTTGAGGACAAGGAACTAGCCCTGCACTGGGGTGTGCCTGGAGGTTCTCTGTGGAACAGGGCTAGTAACCGTCCTAGGGACTGAGAAGCTGTTTCTCCAGTTCTCATGGAAAAAAAATAAATAAATGACTCAATTTCAAGAACTTTCATCTGTGAGTCCTACTGAGGGTTGTTTACCATGCTCAGTGGATAATCATAGGCTATTAAAATTGGGTGTCACTTTCATTGTTCTCCTCTCTACTGTTACCTCTCACAGGAAGGTGGCTCACATTTTGGGAAGCCAGACTGTGGTTAGAGAAGTTCCAGGACACGGGCATCCTTCCCGAAGTCCCTTCTGTGTGTAGTGCTTTGACTTGGGGAAATCAAGACAGGCTGACACGAGCTGGGTCAGCTTCCTCCCTCATACCCGAGTCAGCCTGGACATTTAATGACTTCCTCTGCCTCTTCAGAGGTCAGGATGCCTCCCTCCTTCCCTTTCTAAGGCGAGTTCTTTCCCTATAGGCCTGCCACCACTCCCCGCCCCCACCCCTGCTACCCTAGCGCCATCACCCTCAGTGATCTCTCCCTTCCTTGCTGTTGGTCTTGGTTCTTTACTTACAAACATGCTTAGAGTGACCTTAGTCTATACCCGCTTCCCCCATCAGAGAGCCTTCGTGAACAATTCCTTCCCCTCCACGCAATTCTACTCTTGTCATCAAAGTTCTCAGGATAGTGTGCCCTAGTGACGTACTCTGGAAGTGACCTCATCCCCTCAAGCCCAGGGATCTTTATTTGTGGCCTGCATTTCTTCCTTTGACCAGTCCTTTTCAATGAACTCCAACCACTTAGAGAAACTATTCTCTGCCGGAACCTCTGTTTAATCAGTTCACTGGTTGGATGCATTTATCATCTGTGCTCGGTTTGTCCCTAGTTCTGCTCGTTTTTAATGCCCCACAGGCTTAGGGATTCTAGGAAGGCAACCTGAGAGAGCTTTTCTCCTCCCATCTCACATAATACTGTGCAGCAACTGTGACTTCTCCATGGGCTCTCTCCCTGAAGCTCCTCTTTAAGGAGTTCATGTTGTCTCAGCCCGTCCCAGGGTGACATACCCACAGAGGCAGAGGCAGCCCCTGTTGTGGGACACACAGACAYTCACAGTCAGATGCACATGGATTGAACACTGCACTGCCACTGCCACTTGCTAGCTGTGAGAATTCTCTGACTTTCAGTCCCCTCATCTGTTAAACAGTGATGACATCTGGCTTCTAGGGTTGTGGGGAGGAAATATATACAAAGGACATATGCATTATAGTCGCCCAACAAAAGTTAGTTCTCTTTTCCTGTAAGACAGTAACTTTGGAGCACAGGCCTGAAACAATGACCCATGACCTTTTTGACCTTGCAGGTTAGGTTTTGTTTCTATCTTACTGGGCAATTCTGTATTTGCCTTTAAAGCCTTTACTTTCAAATGAACTAAAATAATAAAAGTGCCTATCTCTGGGTGCTCAGATTAGTCTACATTTTCTTGAATTTCCCAAATACTCCACAATGTGGTACTTTACTTACATGATCAGGAACAGGAAACATTATTTTCAAATAATTCTTTTCATTTAAAGCAGTTGATTCTACTCCTTTCATTCACTAAGAAAAGATTTTCACATTATAATTTTTTATTCTTTCACCTTTACCAAGTATTCGGCTGCCAAAATTTTGAGGGCATGTTGTAGTTGTTTTAAAGAATCAAATTTTAGTCCTAAGAAAGACCAAAGTAAGAACAAGATATTTTGCTCCCTCTTCCCTGCCCCTAACACATGGAGGGAAAGATATGACTCCCAGATCAGCAGCCTTATATCACCCGGGAACTTTTGAGAAATACAAATTCTTGAGCCTTACTCCAGATCCACTGGGTCAGAAACTCTGGGGGTGGGGCCAGCAGTTCACTGTGAAGAAACCTCCACTCCATTCTAATGAGAGCTTGTTTGAGAATCACTGCTCTTAAGACCTTTCTCCTATTATTTCAATCATCTTGAAGGAGCACCATGAAACTATAATAGAATAAGAAATATATATTTGAACTCTGCCTCTGGTTTCTGACATAAGCTCCGAAAATCCTTGGAACTTCCAGAGTAGTGAGTTTCTGTATGTCAGTGAGATAWCTGGTGGCCAGGGGCCTCTTGATAGCTTCAGACCAATGCATGATCAGAGGGTTGAACTTTCAGCTCTACCCAACTCCCAACCTCCTGGGAGGGGAGAAGAGCTGAATGTCGAGTTGATCACCAGTGGCCAGTGATTTAACCAATCAAGCATCTATAATAAAGCCTCCATTAAAAACCCCCAAGGACTGGATCCAGGAAGCTGCTGGGTAAACTGAATTGTTTAGAATACACTTGGTGCACCTGGAAACAGTAAGGAAGCTCCATGTCCCCTTCCACAATCCTTTCGCTATGTGTCTCTTTCTTTCGTTGTTCATTTTCTTTGGCTGTTCATTAAATATGCTTTGTAATAAATGGGTAAATGTAAATGAAGTGTTTCCCTGGGTTATGCAAGCCACTCTAGCAAATGAATAGAACCCAAGGAGGTGGGTGGGGGAAATCCCTATTTATAGTCAGCTGGTCAGAAGAATAGGTGACATCCTATTACTTGCAAGTGCCATCAGACCTGGGGAGCAGTTGTAGAACTGAACTCTTAACCTGGGGATATTTGCTACCTCCAGGGAGACAGAGTCAGAAGGGAGTTAAATTGGTGTCTGCTGGAGAACTGCGTGGTATGGGGGGAAGGAACCACGTTCCACATCCGGCATCAGAAGTGTGCTAAGTGGTTTTTGTTTTTTCCTTTACAGGTAGCCTTCTCTCACACCGCTGGCTCTAGATTCCTCATGCCCAAGCAAGGTCAGTGCTGGGAGCAAAGCCTGTAGCACAGGATAGTCAGGGACACTGAGGAAATGCCACCAGTACACAGAGATATATGAAAGGGGCTTTAGGCAGAGTAAGAGGTGGACAGGCAGAAATCCTCTCATCAGCCACCTTCTGCAAGGCTCTACAGCTTCCCTAAGCATCATTTACAAGGCTGAGGCTCATGTCCTCTGGGCCTGTGATGGGAGAATGCAGAGAGGGGAACAGGAAGATCCCAGGGCCTTGACCTTGGCATGGGAAGCCCATCTACTTGGAGTGCTGAGCATCCCACCCCCATCTCACTGCTGGTCTGTCCCCTCTCACCTTCTTCAGGACAGCAGCAACGGGTAGGACAGCAGGGACAACGGATGTAGCAGCAGCAATACTGAGGACAGCACTGGCACCAGCACACTCCAATCAGCATGAAGAGGACCAGTGCTCCCAGAATGATGAAGATCACTGTCAGCCAGTCTGCAGGGGAGAAGACGAGCAGCAGTGTACTGGATATTCAGCAGAATGCCACCTGTTCTAACACTCTAGAGGTCTAAGCAAACACAGCTCTTGACCCACATGGTAAAGTTGAGCACTATGCTGGAAACATAGGTTTAGCTGGGTTTTTTAAAATTAATTTTTAAAAATATTTTTTAGTTGTAGATGGACACACAATATCTTTGCTTATTAATTTATTCTTTATATGGTGCTGAGGATTGAACCAGTGCCTCCCATATGCTAGGCAAGTGCTTTGCCACTGAGCTACAGCCCCAGCCCCTAGGTTTAGCTTTGATAAGGGAACTTCAGAGGTTCATAATCCAATGACAATAACAGGTTCATTTCTGTTTTTGTTGTTGTTGTTGTTTTCCCCTGTGTAAAAGTGTCACAGTGGTGGGTTAGTCAAGCAGAAAATTCTAGCAGTACTTACGAAGGACGATGAGCTTCACCTCCTTATCAGGGTCTCCTGATGTGTCCCCTGGGGCCTCAATGGTGCAATAATACACTCCATGATCCCACCACATCACTTCGTTAATCACAAGATCAGCTCCTACATGGGAAAGAAGGAGAAAGTGCCAGTAGACAGGCACTGGTTTCAGACCCACAGTAGCTTCAAGACCCCAGCATTATCCTTCCACATCCTCAGGAGCCCTGGTAAATGGGTATCAGTTCCTTCCTCTGAGACCTTCCTCCTTCCTCCTTCTCCAAACAGTATAATAATGGTGGAGTTTATTACCCCTGAGCCTACCACGAGGCACATCACAAGGATTCTGCATACATGGCCTCACTCAATTCCCACTGAGACCCTGTAAGTGGGTGAGGCAGAAATTACACCTTGACTCCCAGCATATATGCTTCCCTTCATAGAACTGAATTTTTGGCCATATGTGCAGCTGCTGTGATTTGAGTGTCTGGCCCTTCAGAACTCATGCCACAACTCAATTGCCTTGTAAAACAGTATTAAGAGGTAGGGCCTTTAAAAAGTGACTGAGCCACGAGGGCTCCACCCTCATGGGTGGGATTACAAAGGGGTAAGTCTGGGACCCTCTCATACTCTCACCTTCTGCTGTGTGATGATACAGCAATAAGACCATCACCAGATTTCTCAGCCTTTAGAACTGTAAACCAATACATTTCTACTTATTATAAATTAAACAGTTTCAGGTGTTCTGATATAGCAGCACAAAATAGGGGGTATCCAAAATAAGGTAAGTGTTTTCCATTCTTTCTTACAGATGGACTTGCAGAAGTGATTCAGTTATGGCCAATAAAATGCAATCAGAAGTGTCACATAATGGCTTCAAACAGCTTGAGAACACTTTCCCCCCCCCCTTTTCCCATTTATCTTTTCCTCTCTACTCTGTTATCTGGTGCTATGGTTTGGATAGGGTTTGAGGGTGTCCCCCAAGTTTCCTGTGTTGGAAGCATGGTCCTCTGTGTAGCGATGTTGGAAGATAGTGGAACCTATGAGAGGTGAGCTTATCGCAATGTTAATCTGGGAGGAGATTAAAGTCATTTTTGTAGGACCTCAGTTAGTTCCCAAGACAGTGGACTGTTATAAAAGAGCAAGCCTGGCTCCCTTGGCTTTCTGGTTTCCTATTTCACCATGTGATCTCTGCCTCTAACACACACTCCCTACCATGAGGTCATCCTCCATCCAGCCAAGGCGGCCCTTGCCAAGGCCAAACTGACAGAACCATCGATCTTGATCCTGAACTTTCAGCCTCCAAAATGAGGAGTTAAATAAATAAAACTATTTTCTTATAAATTAYCCAGCTTTAGCATTTTGTTATAGCAATAGATAAATGGACTAATACATCTGAAGAACAAATGTTACAGCTCCATCTTGGGCTAGGAGGAAGAAGATGACCTTCTTGCTGAGCTGGAAGGAACTTGTGTCCCTGAGGACTTAATGGAACAAGGCCACATTAGGCCTGGGCTATATACTTCTGATTTTGTACATCAGAGAGAAACAAACTTCTTCATTCCTTAAGTCACTAATGTTTTGGGCTTTTGCTTGCTTTCAATGTAATCCTACCTGATGTATAGGAATTTCACTGCATTTTAAGATGAGAAAATGAAACATAAATAGGTCAGGGAGTTGGCCAAATAATGTGCAGAAGGTGCTTAGCAGAGATGGGTTCAAACCCATGTCTCTCTGCCCTCAAATCTAGTGCTCCCAAACACCGTTCTACTGGCCTCTCCAAACCAGATAAAAAACTCTCTGGCCTGGACCCCTCATTAGAGATGAGCAAGTATCTCTGGATCTTGAAGGGACTGATTATGAGATGAATTTGAAGCAGTATGAATGAAATGCCAATATTTTAAGAGTCAGTTACCCAAGAAAAGAATTGAAGTTCTCATGAGCACTGAATACTCTGCCCCCCCTGTGACAATAAATATTAACATACACGTTGAAGTTCAGCAAATTGGACAAATATTCACTAAAGACCTTTCCTGGGCCCAACACCACGTCAGGCACTGTGGGAGATCTGAAGAGGAACAAGGACTTCTCTGTCCTGGAAGAGTTTAAAAGCCAGTCAGAGGTAGCAGAGCAGCTCCACATTCCTGAATGATGGCAGTACCTGCTGTTACCCTCCATCAAAAGGACATTGGCTAGTCTCAAAGAACTTAGCATTGTAGATTTGCTGTTGCTTAGTTAGTGGTCATATCTGCAATTCTTTATTGTCTGTTTGTCAAGAGATATTTATTGAGGAAATGAAACAAAAACACAAGGTCATGCAACACTGGAGCAAACTTTGACTTCTGTTTCCTTCTCTTTTACGTCAGTGCCTGTGATGTTTTTCCTACCCACAATTTTCCAAACCCACTGCCTTTCCCATAAACAAGCTCACCCTAGACTTGGAAGAACAGTGAAAGTGCTTTAAGAGAAAGCCCCCCTTAAGCTTGATAAGTATTGTAAATCTGCTCCATCGTTTTATTGGAGTGATAAAGAGATTTTTTAAAGGGATGTCAGTATAATAAGGGCATTCAGATAGGTTAATATTTTAGATGACCCAAGAACTGATTTGACAAGGGCATCTCAAATGATACAAACACAGCCATGAAAGAATCAGAAAGCAAAGGCTCCAGGAAGTCTCAATGAACCCAGATGCAGAAATAAAACCCAGGGGAAAGACTGCTTTCCTGTAGGAATGAGGAAGAGGCAGCGTGAGGAAGTGGAGGTGCAGAAGGTACTGCTCTGACTTAGAACATGACAAAAGAGTAAGGATGATCATCCAAGGGGACTTGTGTCCTTTGGAAACTATAAAGGGAGGTTGCTAATGAAAGAGAATTTAAACTTGGGGTTGGATCAGAACTAATTCTGCTGGGGCTCTGGAGAAAGTAAAGCCACTTTGAATCTTTGAGGATGCACTTAGAGACTGAAGAAGGACAAAGGTTCCCTAAAGCCAAGAACTCAAGGGCTGGTTTGAGCAAATCAGAGGTTAAATGTGAAAGGATAAGATTTCAGAATTATAGACAAAGTTAGAAGCAATGATCAAACTGACCTTTAAATGATCTACCTTTGAGTGGTCATTGAATATTCACTGATTCCTCAGGATATAGCTATGGGCATCTCGAGCGGCCTGCGGGGTATATTTTCCCTTTTGTTAACCAGGAAAAAAATTACTACAGCACATAACACTCATTGAAATTGGCTCTGAATACCGTGCTGATAACTCATTGCAGCAATTCTGGATCATAAGTTAGGAGCATGGGGAGCTAACGCACCCATTCATACAAAATGTACTGATGAATAACTGATGTTCACTGTACAATCAGTGTATATTAAATGATTCTTACACAAAATCTCAGTCCTCAGAAATCTCTGAGATAGATACTATGGCAAGTCCCATTATATAGAAATTGAGGCGAAAAATTTTAAAGGGGCTTGCCCAAGTTCACGTGCCTTCCAAGTGCAGAATTGGCAGCCACACCTGTATCTGGCTGTGCTCCCCACACCGGGCACAAAGAATAAAACTGCTGTAGACCCAGCTCCTATACATCACATTTGATATTCACTTCCATGTGGGGAGACAATGCCATTACATTATGCCCAACTCTCAGATGAAGGAAGAAGCCAGGGAAAATAACTGACCTGTTGCTGGTCACTGAGCTAATGAGCAGAAGCAGTGAGATTCTCACCAGGGGTTTGTTATCTGAGTCCCGTGCTCTTTCCCCTCTCACTGGAGGACAGTGGTCTCGAAGTGGCCACCTACTTGCAAGTCCCTGTTTTCTTTGGATGGGCAACAAGAATGACCCGAGAGGAACTCAAAGACCTGGGGGTTGGGAAGACCCTGAGAATAATTTGTGGAAAGGATCAAAAGAACTGGATCCACACTTTAGCCCTGAATCTCAGGAAAGCAAGGAAACTCATTCCATCCAAACCTTTAGCCAAGGCTGTTGAACATCTAGTCCACACGTTCCAGGAAAGTAACCTTCGTCCATGCAGCACATTCTAAGAATCTGGCATTTTCCTCAATGAGAGTGAACAAGGAGCCCAGGAGCAGAAGTAACTGGGAAATCCCACGCTGACTCAGCCTGCCAGACCCAAGTCTGCTCCTCCCCCCACCCCCAGTTTCTTTGCACCTCCCCCACACTCACGGTTTTGGATGGTAATCTTGCGCTGCCGATAATCCACCCCCAGCACTGGCTCATTCTGTCCCCGTCTCTGGGCCACGATGCGAACTTCCCTCTGATTATCATTGCAGTCATTGGAGGGGTCCTGGCCCAGGGATAAAGCTGCTTGGTATGCTGAGGAGAGAGGACACACTCAAGTCACACAGAAAGTTCTGATTCTGCAGGTCTGGTATAGGATCTGAGTTTCTGATGCCCAGTAAATTCTCAGGTGATGTTACTCAACCACAGGTGATAGCAGAACCCCACTTTTAGCAAGGAGCCTCCAGCCCCCTTACAGGTCATTATTTCCAAGTCCTGGCTGTATCCTTCATCTCCCAGACCAACTTCCCTTGTCTCATTTACAGAGTTTCCCCAGTCTCTGTTCCCGGTGTTCCTCTACCTGCCCTTCCATTAGGAGCTTTGAGAGCTATTAAATCTGCTGGTAGCCAGTGTCTGCTATGCTAGTCCCCTTCCTCCCCACTTAACCCAAGCATCTTAAAAGTAACCCCAGGAAATAGCCTCAATTTAGAGAGGAGTCTTTGTGGGTGATAAGTGGCTTTGGTTTGGTAAGTGGCTCAAACAGTCAGATTTTGTGGTTCTACTCAAATACCCCAGGGCTAAAAATGGCAAGCTGATGCCTCCTGCTCCTTCTGCCTCATCTCAGAAAGTGCATTTCCTTCCTCCAAACAGGGCATCTACTTCTATTCTCAACATTTCCAAAAGATTCATTGTCTCAGGTTGACTATGGGGCTCTGGATTCTGATTCCAGGCAGCAGAGCTGATGAGTGAGGCCACTGTTACTGAGAGGTGGGACTTGGCTGAACATAAGGAGGGGCTGTGTAGTACCAAGAGGGGCAACTGCAAAGGGGCAGCCAGGGGAAGCAAGCTGTTCTCCACTGAAAGTGTGTAGACCACTGAGGAATGGCCATTCGCCAGGAGGGCTGGCTGAGGAAGGGCAGGAGGCTTCACAAATGACCATTAAGGCCCTGCATCCTGAGTGATGTTGGAATTTTCTCATCTGCATTCTAAGGCCCTGGGGTGATGGGAGATAGGTCGGCATCATCAGCTTAGCAGGCTGGCTTGACCCAAGAGTGGACCAGGAAGCAGGACTAGCTCTGTTTTTGCTTAATGTCTGAGCTGTCTTAAATCTTTTCAGAACAAGGTGAAACAAAAAATTTAAATAAACTTATATGTGACCTAGAACAAGTTATTTTGTCAGCCTATGCACAGTTTATCTATGAAATGAAGGGACTGCATCTTTGTGGCTTCTTCTCACTATGAGGATTTGTGATCCTAAATAATTTCTAGATCCCAGACATAGAACATCACAGAGGTGCTGGGGACGTGGAGAGAATAAGAAGGGGGAGGACACTTACAGGCAGAGAAGTAGTCAAAGATGGGGTCCTTGCAGAAGGACTTGAAGCGCCATGTCACCACCACATCCTGGAGCTGGGCAGAGGTCGTATAGTCACATTTGAGGACAACAGAGGCAAACAGAGTGACATAACGCTCTGTGTGTTGGACCGTCACCAGCAAGGACAGGCACCCTGAAGGCAAGAGCAGGGGACAATGTGGAAGGTGATCTACTTTTATCCTTGCAGTAATAAAAGCAATGCAAATGAGCAAAACTCACTGCCTGTTCTCTTGCCTGGCTGGCTGGGAACTCATAGGCAGAGCCTGGCTTCTTACTGGGCAGAACAGAGGCTGGAGAATACCCTCAGCACCCTGGGCAGGGACAGGAAAAAAGAAGTCTAACACCTAAGAACTCTAGAGAACCTTGCCTACATCAGGCAGCACCTTTCCCACTTCTTGGTGGTGGTCTGCTCCCTGGAGGTTCTGGGACAGCTGGCAGGTTTGTCTCTAGCTTGTTCTTCAAACACAAATACTTCATACCATGCCTGTCACTTACAGGGCACTCCATAAATATTTGTTGAATATATGATGGAATAAATGACCAAGGACACAGTAACCAGTGACAATCTGACAGCCAGTCAACATAATCACAGAGCAAATCAAACATAAATGGTCAGATGGTGACAAACCATATTAAGAAAGACTTGGAGAAATTGTTTCTTTTAAAAAATTCCTTCACACAACCCTCCAAACCTGTAGGCATCCTTAAAGTTCCAAGCGTACCTGGAGGAGGAGCCAGGTGGCACAGAAGTACCAGGTGGGGCTTGGCACAGTCAGGGGTCAATCAGTAACCATGTCTTGGCATGTTCCTATGTTAGCATGGTTTCTAGGCTGAGTTACCAGGGGACCTCTTGTTGGGGGAGAGTTAGTATAGATTGGCAGCACTCAAACTTGAATGTGTATCACCAGCAGGACTGGAGACATCCCAGATTGCTGGACCCTGTGCCAGGAATTTCTGATTCAATAGAACTTGGGTGAGGCCCAAGGACTTATATTTCTAATAAACTTTCAGGAGATGTTGATACTACTACTCTAGGGACCATACTTGAGAACAACTGGTCTAGAGTAGATTAAAAAAAAAAAAAAAACTCAACCCACAGGCTTTGGATTCAGTTATAACTTGGTTCAAATCAATTTTTTTTTCATTGACATGGGACAAGCTATTTATTGTCTAAGCATCTATTTCCTCAGCTCCAAGTGGAAATAATGATAATACTATAGGTTGAGCACCCCTAATCTGAAAATCCAAAATCTGAAATGTTCCAAAATCCAAAACTTTTTTTGAATGCTAATATGATACCCAAAAAGTTTCTGATTAGACCATATCAGACTTCATATTTTCAGATTAGGAATGCTCAACAGGTAAAAATCTATGCAAATATTCCAAAATTTGAAAAACTCAAAAATCTAAAACACTTCTGGGTCCAAGCATCTCCAGAAAGAGATTATCATTAACCAGCATTAACCTCATCAGGTCCTGGCAAGAATGAATGAACTAATTCACTTTTGATGCCTGGATCAGAACCTACACGTACACTGCTATGTTTGCGTCTGAGTGTCTTCCCTCTTTTCCCTTATGAGAGCCAAGGAGAAGGGGATTCTAGCATTTTCTTCCAGAGAGTTCTCAGGGGGAGCCACCTTCATTTTGGTGGAGTGTCCCCATTTGCAAAGCAGCTCAGTGGGCCTGTCGTGGGCCTGTCTTGATAGCGAAAGCCTTGTGATTCTGGGTCCTGCTTCATCTCTGGCCACAGCCCTCATGAGACCATCCTTTGAAGTACTGTCACCTGATTTTCTCATGTCCAGAAGGGACAGTGGAATGCGGCTCAGGGCAGGCTCTGGTCCTCAGAAATGACCTGTCAGGTCCCCAGGACTGGGCTGTGATGAAGATGCCCCTCCCCACCACCCTGCTCCCATGACAGATGTGAGGAAGAGGGCTCTGCTGCGCGGCAGGGGAGACTGCACAGAATAAAGGGATTTAAACTGGACCCTAAGGCTCGGGTGGGATTAGGATTATGCAGGCAAATAGGGAAAGGGCAAGGAAACTCACTGAGGAAAGAAGAAAAAGAGTAAGCAAAGACTTTCATCAGGAAGGGGCAGTTACTTGGGAAGCCTAGAGGAATCCACTCAAGCTGGTGCCTCTGGCTGCCAGGGAGGTGGGGGAATAAACAAGGGGGGCTGATGGCAGCCTTGGGGGGGGGAGGCTGGGGTATGGTGGGGAGTCTAAATCACAATCCACTGCCTTTTTCCAATTCACAGGTGATTTCTGTATGTTTTTCTAAAGCATCAAAGTAGAAGAAAGATGACTTCCKTATTCAGCTGTGAATGGAAAAGAGCATTGTTTTCAGAATAAACCTTCAGGAGTTTAGGGGAAAATAGCTACTACTTCTACCAACCATAGGATTCTTAGAACTCAGGCCAATCAGAGTGGAAGGCCCCTGTGCGTACCTTAAGTCTATCATGGATTATTTCACAGTCTGATTCTTTTATTCTTGCTCCTCCCTCACCAACCCCTTTGCTGTTTGTTTGTTCTTCCAGAATTGTCCTGAAATAGACCTTGCAGCTTTCAGCCATCACAGATTTCACTGAACAATAGAAGCACTACAGATAAGATTCTGGTAATGAGTGGAGACTGCCACTGTCAACAAGGGCATGTTTTATTCAGTAAAACATACTGACTGAAGAAAAACAAAACCTTAGATTCACATAGCACCTTCCAAAAAAATATATATATATATATATAGATATAGATATAGATATAGATATATTTACACATTAACATGATCCTGGAAGGAGACAAGCTGTGCTCACTTCATATGCAACACATCTGAGGCTTGGAAAAGTTAAGTGAATCGTCTCCATCTATGTTTTTCTAAGGGAGTCGGAGGCAACATTCTGTCCCCGAGCAGTGTTCTTGCCACTCTGCCTGGCTATTTCTTACAAAAAGAAGAATAATTAGTATTCAAAGTTTGCAAATTGGCGGTTGGGGCCAGGTTATTAATTGCCACTCTAGCATGGCGATTAATAACCTACTCGTTCTTTATTTGGTGGAAGGGTAATTTGATATAGTCTATTCAAAGACTCTAGTCAACATTACTTGTACAGAGATGGATCATTTGGGAGAGGGGAGGGCAGGCTTGCTGAGGGTCAGAAAAAAAAAAATTTGGCTGGCGCCAGAAGCTTTGAAGATTGGTGAATCTGATCCCTTTGAGGGAGGGAAATGAGGACAAGAGCGATCACCTTGATCACCAAATACACACTAGATCTCCTTATGTGAATGCCCTTATTATGGGCAAGGCACATCTGGGGAACCCAACTCACCTTTGCCAGCGTCAGTGCTGGCCCTGTTGCCTGGTGCTCTTTATTCTCTTTACAACTTCACCCCCCCCCCATATGAATTTTGAGGCTTAACATATGTGAGGTCCCCATGTGTTCTGAGCATATTGAGCTCACTCACCCTCCCTCCAGGGGAATGCCAGCCTCACATCATCTCGCACAGATCTCACACCTTCACCCTCTGCCCTGCCACACCCATACCCACACACATGGAAGAGTCCCCAGAGAAGAGGTCTTAACAACCCAGCAAACTTCTTCCTTCTCAGTTGCTACTGCTGGCCCTCAGCATCTTTTGTCCACCAGATAATATATGTTCTTTGTCTGTAATCCTCTCAAAACCCCCTTAGAGCAGGATCAGCTCTGCTCACCTATGTGGACAAAAGTTCAGAGGATATTAGCCAAGCCCCCATGTACACACCAACACACACCTAACCTAATACATATCAGCACCAAGATTTTAATTTAAGTCCTAATGACACATAAAACTCAATTTTTTCCCAAGTAGGCAAGCATAATCTTCCAAGGTGGAAGTCAGGCACTGGACTGTTAAAAATATCAATTTTCCAGATTGAGAAGGAGAAAAAGTAAGTAGCAAAAGCCTATGTCAAAGGCCAAAATCTTCCATCTCTCTTTACCCTTAGTCTCTTGCTTTTCTGTACAACGAACCACACTGGGCATCCACACTAAGCAGTAAGTAGGTAGGGTTTCAAAGAAGAGACCAAAAACAAGCAGAATCTGTGTTGAAAATATGTGCAGCTTCAAAAAGAGAAATAGCCCCTTGGGTATTTCAAAATAAACATCTTGGTGGCATCCTTGTTCTTTCAAACTTAGCACCCAAATTTTCCAAATTCTTAAATTCCCTTCATTTAAGGGCATTTCCTTCTTCCAGATCCATCGCCACCTAACTGTCTGTTATCATTTGCTCTTGAAAATTTTAAGTTTGGAGCCTGATTCCCTCTGTTCAGACCCTGCCTTCACTCCTCACCCTAAAGGCCTGGTAAGTTATTTCCAAACTACACCTTCTCATTATATGCAAAATTATATGTGATGTCAATACATGCCTCCTAGGGTTAAAGGATAATAAATGTTCCCCACTTAGCAAAGAGCCGGGCACATGGTAGACATTCAATACACGTCAGACCTCATTTGTACCATTTGTACTGATCTTGTCTAATTTAGGAGACTAAATTAGAGGCCAGCATGTTAAAAAAAAATCATTTTGAAATAATTAAAATTATACAAATGAAAACTATCATTATAGTCTTTTCATTGCAATAAATGAGTTAATATATTAAAAACTCTGTAGCTCTGTATACCAGCGAGCCTATTTGGTTTGCCTCATCTGTGAAAGAGGAAGAGAGGGAGACCTGTCATTGAAGGGTAGAAAAGGAAACTTTAGAATAAGATGTTAGAGTTATGGGAAGGACGGATGGGAAAGGGGATTCTCTGTTTCCCGCCACAAGGTACTTTCCAAGACCATGGTGCTATGCCAAGGGGACACTACCATCTTAGGGTAAAGTAAAAGCAAAATAGACCTATAAAAGCCAAGTATTTGGTAGCTAAATACCTATATTCCCAAACACAGGTTTATCTTTGTACATCTTTTAATTCAGTCTGTCTCTCTTATGTTGTATCAAATTGAAGAAGATGTTCCAGTTCATAGATGATATCATCTACATAGTATAGGAATATAGGTGCAAAATAAAATATTTTAAATTAAAGAGTGCTTTGAGGGGACTACATTGGTGTTTCCTCCTCTGTTCCATACAAAGGGGTCTGGCTTGGTAGAAGGAGTGCTATA